CGTGTTACCGCATCCATGTTATACGAGAAGGAAATTTTGTCGCACCCTTGTGCTGTGACAAGTTGATTTTATCGCACCTATACAATACGATGAGTTGGGTTTATCGCACAGTATGATGGATAAGTTTATATTTCTCGCACCAGTGTGTTGCGGGGACATGGGTTTGTCTCATCCATGTGATGCAAGGAATTTGTATAAATTTTATATGATGCGACAAGTTTTATCCATAAGGTGTTTATCAAGTTATTTGGGTATTTTAATGCAATAAATGAATTTTATTATATCAAAAAGATGTATACATTTGTTATTATTACATATGTGATTCATAAATATGATTTAGGAATTATTCACCCTGTAATTGCATCAAAGGGATTTCTCAATAGGCCTTAAGGTCAAACCCTCATTTTGTGTTTTAAAAATGTGCATTACAGGTCGAGTACAACCAGAGGACAAGAGGAAGAGAAATTGTGAAGTGTTATATTATGCTTGCATGTAATTTTGGGGCTAGCATAATCTTCTTTTGTATTTGGATACTTGTTATTTATTCACGTGTATTATAGAGATTTTATGGAAAAAAAATGTTAGCTACTTCATAATGTAGCATTTGTAGATATTGAGACCGAATGTGTAAAATTATATTTCTTAATATATGGAAATATATGTTTATATGCTAATGTGATCTTGGAGTGGTACATGAAAACTTCGATTTAGCATATTTTGTGTATAAAACGGTGTTGATATGATTGAAAAATTGATTGAAAGTAACGGTAGAGGATATAAATGTTAGAATGAGAGAAATGGAAGTGGGTTTGTCCCACATTGGTAGAAAAGTAAAACCCACATGGGTTTATAAGTAAAAAGTATATTGAGAAAGGGCATAAAATGAAATTTTAAGGGGTAAAATCAGCATTATAATTTATAGATGAATGCTTTGATTTTGATTTTTTTGTGCACGACAGAGAACTGAGGGGTTTGTATGGTGTAAAATCAAAGAAAGCTTTGTAAAGAAGTCGTTGGTCAATTGTATAATCAAACAGATCAAAACATAGCATAAATCAGAAAGATGAAAAAATGAATAAATGAAACAGATGAAATCGAACAGTTTGAACAAAGGAAGTATAAATCAAAAGCTGTTTCAAACAACAATCGAACCTGAAGAACGTGGAGAGTGGCATGAGAGAAGAGGGCAGTCATGGAAAAATTAGGGCGTTGGATGGTTGAGGGAGGCTCAAGATACAAATCACTCAGAGGTATTTATAACCATTAAGAGGTAAAGTATTTTTTACCAACAAAATTAACCTTTTAGCGGTTCAGATGTTGCCTCTTAATGAAACTAAACAACCCCTAAAAACATACTATGAATACGTTGATGCATATCTATGTTGTTCAAATGATCTATTCAACCACAACTCCGAAGATGAAAACATTGTAATAAAAAGTTCTAACGGGTGTTTGTTATAGAATTAGTAAAGCAAAAAAAAAAAAAAAAACTAAAAATGTCCAATTTAAAACTAAAATTTTACAATTAAATGCACAATAATTATTCATTTTGGAAAAAAAAAACCTTGAGATATTATCCTGCGTTGCCGTTTTGATATTTTTATAAAGGAAAGAAAGGGAAAGGGAAGGTGAAAAAAAATCTCAAGTTCTTTTTAGGAAGGAAATGAAAAGAAAAAGGGGAAGGCAAAAATATCGAGTTTCTAAGGAGGAAAAGAAAGGAAAAAGAAGAAAAATAAGACTGATTTTCCTTGAAAAACTTTCTTCCTAAAAGGAGGAAAGAGAAGAGAAGGAAAAAAATTATAAAAACAATTAAAAATATTCATAAAGTTACATATCTATCCGTCAATTGCGTTATGCTCTAAAATAAATAAGTGTATATTTGTAAAATTAATATCTTTCCATTTCTTTCTCGCTTGCTCAAAAACATGAAATGTTATTTTATACTTCTCCTCTTTCGTTGATTTTCAAGAACACAGATAAAAGTTTCTATTTCTTTACTTTTCTTTTCCTTCTTAAATTCAAAAACACAACCTAAATCAAAATCATATATGGGAGAAACATAAGATACTATTGGAAGTGTTTCATAAACTATAGTGTATTGTTGAGAGCGACAAGCTCCATCTATATTGATAGTGTATTGGTCTTATTTTATGTTCATAAACTTGTTTATCTTAATGAAAATGATAGAAGATAAAAAGACCAAAATACCCGTAATATGATATACGCCTACAAGTATAAAGAGATTGATAGGTGGGTGTATACCTCCTAAATCTAACTACAAGTGTGCGGTGTTGAATCAAGTAATAAGTATGTAAGTACGAGTATTGAACTACGGAACTAGGTACTGAGTACCACAAATACTACGAGTATTATTAACTGGACGATCCAAATATGATAACTTGAATTGAAAAGTAAACAACTAATTAAACTAAAGAAGATCTAGGAATACTTCAAGGAAAAAATGTGATAATCGGGTTATCGGTTATAAAGTTCGAGATTGTTTTTGAAAAGTGGTGGTAAGTTGAGGGGTTAAATTTGTATATGTGCCTAAATTGCTTATAAATCCCACACCCTCTTATTATTTTTATCATTATGAGATAAGTATATTATATCATTGGGATGAGATTTAAAAAGGAGAAAAGAAAGTTGATAAAACTTTTGTGTGTGTTTTTAAGCCGAGAAAGAAAATAGAACCAAAAAGGGCAGCTAATAGAAATCGATTATGTGATTATTTGTCTGGATAATTGTTGTTGTTCATCTTCATATCAACATATTTGTGTGATTCTATAAGGTGAGTTTATTTTACAAACTTTCCTTTTATGGTATTGAAATTAGAACTGCGTGGTTCTTTAGTGGGAGTTTTTGAAACTGAGTTTATGCTATTTTTAGCGTGAGTTGATATTTTGAGATGTTTATATCAAGTGAATGGAATAAGAGTGACATATCAAGGAGAAGTGTATTTTGGTTATAAGGGTGACATATCAAGAAAATGTGTATTTTGGTTATAAGGGTGACATATCAAGGAGAGGTGTATACTAGAATAAGGGTGACATAATCAACGGAATGTATAAAAATCTGGGTTTTTGATCAAGTGTTGATTGTTGTCGCATCCTTATGATGCTATAACTTTAAGTTGTCGCATCTGTGTGATACGATAACTTAAGTTATCGCATCCTATTGATGTGATGATGCAAGTTTATCGCACCCATATGATGGTAGAAGTGAGTTTATCACATACATATGATGTAAGGAGTGAGTTTATCGCATCCTATTGATGCGACAACTTGGGATATCGCACCTATATGATGCGATAAGATGGGGTCCTTGCATCAGTGTGTTGCGAGGAAATGGGGTTGCCTCACCCATATGATGCGAGGAAATTATGTTTCCACCTATATGATACGATGAGTTTTATCATAATGTGATAAATGAGTTATTGGACTATTTGATGCAATAATTGGACAATGTCTCACCATTTTAATGCGACAAAAGAGATTTGTTTTATTAAAATGTTGTATATTTGTTATTTATACAAATATGGGTTTACAAAAATGTTTTGTGATTATTCACCCTGTAATAGCAAACAAGGGATTTCTCACTAGACCTCAAGGTTTAACCCTCATTTTGGTGTTTTGAAAATGTGCATTACAGGTCGGATACAATCGGATGATAAGGAGAAAGGAAAATTGTGAAGATTTATATATGCTTGCATGGGGATGTTGGTATACCATGTTATCTTTTGCATTTGAATACTTGTTATGTATACAAGTGTCGTATAGTAATTTTGTGGAAAAATTTGGTAGTTACTTTGTAATGTAGCTTTTGTAGATACTGGGACATAATTGAACTATTCCTGAAATGGTATATATTATCTCTCGATCTCACATACAAGCTCAAGAATTATTAAAAACAAGATTGTAAAACAGTACCAAGATTTAATTAGTATATTCCTATCCAAGTTCTTACCTTAGGCATATGAATCATAAACTTAATTATAAAACTATTTCTCTCGAAATTAATTTAAAATGATCAATTGCAAGTTGATCAGGCTCACCAAGGAATTAAACACAAATTCATATTCTTCATTCATTGAAAAGTCTAATAAAAATCACATGTTACGTGTTCATATGCTTACAACCCAAAAGCAATCCAACCCTCAACATCTAGGAATTAGTTCATGTTAGGGATGGTAGGAAATACAACATAAATGGAAGAACTAAAAGGTTTAGACATGGTTCTCATAAAATCTGAAAAACACAATTAAAACCCCCCTTTTTATGAAGAATCTCCACCAATAATTAGTGAATACGCGTCAGACCTTTAGCCTCGATATCAATTTTTGTGTTTTTTAGCTCTAAAACCCTCCAAGAATCTGCCCAAATTTGCCTCCTAGTAGCCCCTCTCTTCCAATTATGTCCAACCCCCTTCAACCCTAGCTGGATAAGACATTTTGCACGAATCCAGAGAATCCTCCGGTTAAGCCGCAGGATTGGTAGCCTGGGTAAAAATGTGCCGCATCTTTGAGCCCGTAGGAAAGATGGCGTAACTCACTGTTTTGTCCACCTTTTATGATATTCCAACTTTAATCCCTTCAACAAACCACCTTGAGATCCAAATTAGATCCCAACTCCAAGATTCTTGAAAAAGCTTCATAAAAGGCAACACAAGACTTAGTTTTCTTCAATTTTTTTCTCTAAGATTAATTTATGTTCAAAAAACTCAAAAGAACTGTTAAAAATATGCCTAATTAACTTTAAAATAAGCGAAAACTACTTGGAAAGTGGTATAAGAATAATGTTAGGAATGACGTTATTAGAGACCAAGTTTATAACATGCGTGTGATAACCGGGTTGTTGTTATAAAGTTTGGGGTTTGCTTTGGTTAAGCGTTGAAAGTTAAGGGTGAATTTTGAAAGTTTGGCTTAAAATATCTTATACCTTACCGCCTCATATCAATATATATATATATATATATATATATATATATATATATATATATACACACACACTTATGTGTGTGTGTGAATTTTAATTTCTCTTATTCTATTACTGGAAAGAATAAGGAAAAAAGTGGGTGTGATTTGTTTTTTGGGATTCGAAGCAAACAAAAATCGAAGGGGAGGAAGAAGAAACTGATTTCGTGTTCATAACTGAAATATGTTGTTTAAACATCTTCATCTATGTGTGATTATAAGGTGAGTTTTATTTTAAAAAACATTATTTAATTTGTCTTTGGTAAAAAAACTGTATGGTTTTCTATTTCATAAGTAGGGTATTCTAAAAATTGATTATATGCTATTTTTAGCATAATAATGAGATTTGATATTTATTACCAACTGGTTGGAATAAAAGTGACATAATAAGAATAGATGTATTTTGGGATAAGGGTGGTATAATAAGAAGTGGTGTATTTTAGGATAAGGGTGTCATAATCAAAAGATGCGTATTTTGGGATAAATGTGGCATAATCAGGAGAGATGTATTTGGGATAAGGGTGACATAATCAACTATATGTTAAAAATGAGATTTGATCTTTTGGAAAATTGTTATCGCATCTGATGATGCGATGCGTTTGGTTTATCGCATCTTTATGATGCGATGTGATGGTATTATCGCATCCTTATGATGCGAGAAAAATGTTTATTGCATCCTTATGATGCAAAGAGTAATTTTATCGCACCAGTGTAATGCGAGAAATGATGGTTATCGCATCCATGTGATGCGAGGAAAGTATGTTATCGCATCCTTGAGATGCGACAAGTGGGGTTATCGCATATGTATGATGTGACAAAAAGTGCGATCGCATCAATGTGATGCGACAAGTTGCTATGTTATATGTTTGATGCGATAAGTTTGATACTTCATGGGTTGATGCGATGAAAAGGGGTTGTCTTATCTATATGATGCGACAAAAGAGGTTTGTTACGGTAAAATGTTATTTACATGATATCATTCAGTATTGGTTTTCCAAAAAAATATTTTGATAATTTTCACCTTGTAATTGCAAATAAGAGAATTACTCACTAGACCTTATGGTCCAACCCTCATTTTGTATTTAAAAATGTGTATTACAGGACGAACACCAGTGGAGGTAAAGGGAAAGAAAAGATGTGAAGGGAGATTATTATTGCTTTACATCTGTGGAAAGTTTTGAAGCTGAATATGTGCATGCACTTGATAACGCGTAATATACAAGTCATGTACTATGTATGAACAAAAAGTGTAGCAATCTGTACGTCTGAGACGAATATGTACATTTGTATTTCATATTATATGAAATATGTTGATTTTATGCAAATGTGGAATGGGGTATTACAATAAGTACATGACATTGAAGATCGAAAAAGAAGAAATCAGTTATTTTAAACTAAAATTGTAAAAAACAATTATTAAGAGACTAAAACCGTAAAAATGATGAAACGAAGTCCATGGTCGACAATTTGTAGTTTGAGTTTTTAAGATTCCAAGAGCTTTTGGGTATTAGGCAAGTCAAGAACGGTATAACTATAAAAAAATTGGTTTTGTAGCATGTTTAAGCGTACTAAATAATAAAACGTCTTATATATAAATGTTATAAAAGATTTATAAGATTTTTTTGTGTGTTTAATAAGCTTTTCCGGATACTTATAAAATAAAATGTCGCATTAATTATTTTAATATGTGAAGATAAGAATATGATGATGGATCTAATATGAAAGGTAACTGAAAAAGGAAAAATATGTGGAGATGTTAAATCTTGGGTAAGTGGTGAGCTTCAAGTTTTGATTTACAGTAAGTTTGGTTGTTTGACATGAAATTTTTTACAGAATCAATCTGGTTAGTAAGAAATTACCATAAAAAAGTACGCTTCTTGATTTTTGTTTTGAAAAATATAGGGAAAATAGGTTAATTATGCTATTATAAGGAAGCTATAGAAATTGCATATATAATATTGGGATTGAACCTGAATTTACGGTAAAACATTCTTTATCTAGAAAAATAATATGATGAAATTCTAAATAACATACAGAAAGAGAACAACAATTTGCAATTTAGAACTGATTATTTTCTTGTTTTAATCTATATAACTTTTTCTCAATTAAGAGCTAGATTTCAACAAATGAAACAACTTGATTTATTTTTGGTTTCTTGTTTGACGAATAGAAGTTAGTTATTATACATAGTCAAGAATTGAATTGTTTGAATCTTGAAGTTGCTTTAACAAATGGTGATGATTTTAATATTGGAGTTACAAGCTTTGGAGGGCATGTTGCTGCAAGAGGCATCTAAATGAGGAATGCCTTAGAAATCAATTCAAATTGTGGAGTTTGCAGAGAAGATGGACATGTTTCCACATGTCTTGCTCACTTACAGGATTTTGATAACTGTACTTTTCACGATAGCATCTACAGGAAGAAATTTTTCGAAATTAAAGTTACTGAAATCATAGTTGCGGTCCAGAGTGAGCAAAGAAAGATTGAACGTGTCAACAATCTTAATTACTGAAAATAAGCTTTTAGCAAATGTTAACTATGATAAGATAATTGATATTTTCGATTCAAAAAGCATACGAAGACATCCTTTTAGATGCAATATGTGTTCTATGTTTAGTTTTTCAGGATTTTGGTTTATGCTCCATTTGTTATATTAATAAAAATTAACGTAAATATGAGCCGTCCAGCTCCATTAGTTTCCAAACTCTTTAAAATAATACATTTTTATATGCTTTTCTTTATATATTAAATAGTAGCTTTTTTGGTTTTCAACCCTAAACATCCAAAAGACCAAAACCTCATGACCCTACACATCATGAATAAACTTCTTTTAGCAATATTAATTTTCTATATAATTATATAAATTATTTTTTTATATAATTATGATATGTGTCTCAATATATACCATTTTAAGACGTGGATCACCAAAAAATTAACAAGTCATAAAGTTTTCTTTTAAATTAACTCCGAAGAGATACAATTTGACCCTAATCAACCGACTTTATCAAGAAAGATTACTTTTTTTAAGTTTTAAATCCTTGGGATTTAGACCTTAGTTCGGTGCTTCTTAATCCTTTCTTTGGTTTTAAAGCCATTCTTCATAAAGTCATTCTTCGTACAATCATTTTTTATACGTTTAAAGTCATTCTTCGTACAATCATTTTTAACACGTTTAAAGTCATTCATTATTAAAGGCATTCTTGTCGGTTGAAGAGTGTGCTTTTGCAGCCTTTCTTTTGTCTGTTTTCTTTTTATCGTTATGTAGATTTTTCATATTTGAATTATTAGTAGAATAAAACAAAATATATTTAAATACGTGTATATATATATATACTCGAAACGTACTCGCGCAATGCAGCGAGATACATCGTGATTTTAATATTTCATTTTATTCTTTATCTCATTCGATGTTATAATATGGCTTTATGTGATTTTGAGAAAACGATGATGTTTTTATTTTGGAATAAAATATATGTTTGAAGATATTATAAAAATTTGATAAAAATATATCGATATTAGTATCAAATTA